AAATATAATAATATTGATATAATAAAAATGTAAAAATACCTTGTCTTGTAATGCATCATCTTTATTAATACCATTATTTTCTACAGTTCCAGTTAATCTTTGCAATAACTGAATTAAGAATATTTCTTTTTTTTTTCCTTTGTTATTTTAAGATAGTTGCGCATTCCAGCTGATGAACTGTGACCTGAAATTACCATTGCTTTAACTTCCTCATTTTCAGCATCAAATATTGATTGAATTGCTGTATCACGTCCTGAATTATTAGAGATATTTCTTCCAGATATATTAATACCACATACTAGACAAATTTCTCAAAACATTCCTCTAATTCGTTTTTCTCCAAGTCCTTGATCATAATACCATATTCCTTTGGAAATTGCTAAAAAAAATTAAAATTTAGAAATTTAATTAATAAAAAAAATATTTACCTGATGCATTTGTTAAGATTCCTAAATAAAATGTTTAGTTTTAAAATTTAAAGGTCTCATTAAAATATACTTATGAATATTTGCATTAGGTTTAGCCACATCCTTAATATCTGATGGAAATGGTATTTCAAAGGTAGATTGATTATCTTCTAATCCTCCTTGATCATTTTTTTATTGAAATTTCTTAAAAATAAATCCCTTTTCTGTATTTTCAAATTGGTCAATTAGTAAATAATAATGTTTGCTACTTCACGGACATTCTAGCAGACAAATTCAAAAAAACTTTCTGAAACAACCCTATAGGTTCATTTGAAGACATGGCATTATTAGATAAGATAAATTTTAATTCCTCATTTGTTAAACCTTCATATGGTTTTGGAGCACCTATTCCTAATCTTTTCATTTCTTTTAAAATACCATCAAGTGTAGCATGAAGTTTTGGAAAATTCTTTTTATCTAAAAGATTATAATTCCATTATGGTTTGGAATTTTTAAGATGATGGCTTATTGAGGCAACAGCATTTTTCAAGGAAGCTCTTGAATATTTTTCGCCTTTTGTTATTCTCACACCATATATAAATTCACACATTTCATTTTCTATTTATTTATAATAAATTTTGATTTTATTTCAGGTTTTTCACAAAATAAATGAATTGTTTTGCTAAAGTTGAGTTGTAAATAACATTTTCCTATCTTTTTTTATTTTTTTTAATTTTATCGAGCTATTTTTTTTAGCATCCAATAAAGTAAATATCCATTTAATTTTTAAGAAACGTATTTATAATATATTAGCTTCGCTTAATTATTTCATTATCTTTTTTTTTAAAAAAAATAATAGTAATTAATAAATAAACTCCTTTTCGCTTTCATTACAAAAAAAAGGAAGAATATTGTTTAAAAAACAATAAAAAATATTTTTTTTAATTATATTAATTGACTCACTGTATAGTCATAAATAAAAAGTATTTATTGATTGTCAAAATATTATATAAAAAAAGTTTGCTTAAATTAATAAACAGGTTTAGAATTCCCATAGCTCATTTACGTCAAAATGACTTCTTAATATTATTTACGACATATTCATATCAGATATTATCGTTTAATTAAATACGTCTCTCTTATGGACTGGATCAGTCCATAAATCAGTCCTTCTTAAGTCTGGTCTTAGATTCTATTTCATACTAGACCTATTTATATGAAAGATCAGACTGAACTGATCCAACCCTAGGTTTTTAATAGCAGTGAATATTTGTTTTCAGATAATAAAATTGCTATTTACAAATATAAAATAGTAAACTAGGTTATTTTTTCAAATTAAATATGAATTTTTAAACTTTTTAGATAATATAAGCAATATCTATAATATGCTTTAAAATTTTCTTTATAAGATAAAGATTTTGATTTTTATGATAATCAGTTCAGTTACTTTTTAATTTTTACAGTAAAAAGAATAAACTAATAGATCACTTGAATTCTATAAGCAAGTCGTTCTTATAATAATAATTAATTTTTTCGTGAATATAATTTGATATTTGTTAATAAGTTAACCATTAAACACAAATATGAAATCTGAAAGAATTGGTTTTTCTGCCTGCATAATCTTTTTAAATATAAATAAAATTCTTTAGAATAGAAAATTTTTGTAAGTTGGCTATCTAAAAAAGTACTAAATATATATTTCAATATCAAAATTCCTGTTTGAAAACTAAATTTATAGGAGTTGAACTTTGAAGAATCATCATTAACTGAAATTAAGATTTAGTAATTTAACAATTTCAGAATCCAACCTTATAAATTTAGTTGAAAGCTATGAAAGAGGAAATAAAGTTTAATTTTTTTAAAAAAATAGATTAACATTTGCATGATCATTTATAGCAATTTTTGATACTAATAAAGACCTTTTTAAATTTAATTCTGTTTCTTTTCCATTTTCATATAAAAATGTTAGATTATATTATACTATATTACTTCAATTTTCAGCTGCTTTTTGATACCAATAAAAGGCTTTTTCTAAATTTTTTTCTGTTCCTTTACCAAATTAATATAAATTTGCAAAATTATTTTATGCTGTAGCATTATTATTTTCAGCAGCTTTTTGAAACTAATAAAAGACTTTTTCTAAATTTTTTTCTATTCTTTTACCAAAATAATATAAATTTACAATATTATTTTATGCTGTTACATTATTATTTTCAGCAGCTTTTTGATACCAATAAATTGCTTTTTCTAAATTTTTTTCTATTTCTTTACCAAAATAATATTATTTGCAAAATTATTTTGTACATTTGTTTCTCCATTTTTAGCAGCTTTTTGATACCAATAAAAGGTTTTTTCTAAATTTTTTTCTGTTCCTTCACCTTTATAATATAAATTTGCAAGACAATTTTGTGCTATTACATTATTATTTTCAGCTGCTTTTTGATACCAATAAATTGCTTTTTCTAAATTTTTTTCTATTCCTTTACCAAAATAATATAAATTTGCAAAATTACTTTGTGCATCTGCATTATTATTTTCAACAGCTTTTTGAAACCAATAAAAGGCTTTTTCTAAATTTTTTTCTATTCCTTCACTATTTTTATATGATAATGCAAACTTATTTTATGCATTTGCATTATTATTTTCAGCTGCTTTTTGATATCAATAAAAGGCTTTTTCTAAATTTTTTTCTATTCCTTTACCATTTTCATATAGTAATGCAAGATTATATTGCGCATCTGCATTATTATTTTCAGTAACTTTTTGATACCAATAAAAGGTTTTTTCTAAATTAATTTTTTTTCCTTCACCATTTTCATATAATATTACTAGATTATTTTGTGCAAGTGTATTATTATTTTCAGCAGCTTTTTGATACCAATAAAAGGCTTTTTCTAAATTTTTTTCTGTTCCTTCACCTTTATAATATAAATTTGCAAGATAATTTTGTGCTATTGCATTATTATTTTCAGCTGCTTTTTGATACCAATAAAAGGCTTTTTCTAAATTTTTTTCTGTTGCTTCACCATTTTCATATGATAATGCAAAATTATTTTGCGCTTTAGTATTATTATTTTCAGCTGCTTTTTGATTCCAATAAAATGCTTTTTCTAAATTTTTTTCTGTTCCTTCACCTTTATAATATAATTTTGCAAGGTAATATTGTGCTTCTGTATTATTATTTTTTGCTGCTTTTTGAAAATAATAAAATGTATTTTTATAATTTTGCTTTATTCCAATTCCATAATAATTATTTAAACCAATTTGTTTTAATCTATCAAAATACATTATTTTGTAAAATTTATTATTTTTGTTCTTATTTATATTAATATTTATATGATAATACTTTATTAGATTATCTTTTGCAATAATATTTCCATTATTTGCTGCATTTTTATACCAATATAAAGCTTGTTTATTATTTATTTCTATTCCAATACCATTAAAAAAATAATTTCCAAGTTGATATTGTGCATCAGAAATTTCTTTTTCTGCTAATATATTATAATATTTAAATGCTTTATTGTTATCTTTTTCAACTCATTTTCCTAACCTATAACAATCTGCTAAATTAAGTGTTGCAGTTATATTTCCATTACTAGCTGCTTGATAATACCAATAAACTGCTTTCTTTTCATTTTTCTTGATTCCGATACCATATTCATAGCAATGTCCTAAATAAAACTGTCCTACTATGCTTTCATTTTCTACTGATTTTTGATACCATTTAATGACAGTATTTTATCATTTTTGATTCCATATCCATTATAATAACATTTAGCAAGATAAACTTGTGAGATTGAATAATTTTCTTCTGCTGCTTTGAAAAAAAATTCATATGCTTTAACACTATCTTCATCCATACCAATATTTAAATAATAAAATAATCCAAGTAACCATATATATTGTGGATTTTGCTGCTTTCTTAACCAATATAAAAGATTTTCAATTTGACTTAATCGTGATATCTTTTGCTTAATAAATTGGTAAATTTGATCATAAGTAATTCCCTCATTATGTTTTTTAATTACAATTTTAATTAATTTATCAACAGTTATATGATTTATAAATATTGAATCGATTGAGTCTTTAGATAGATTATTAACTTGAAAATTCGAAGCTAATAAGTGGTTTTTAAAAAATCTGTTATGCTTGGAAGTGATTTATTACTTCGCAAACTTGAACTGCTTTCATTATTATTCTTATAAAAATAAGTTATTTCTAAATCCTCTAAATCCTCATCTCTCTCTTTACTTGATTTAAATCTAGAATTATTAATATTAACTAATGAATTATTTTTGAAATTCGTCATATTTGATTGAGAAGATTTGATTTCAGTAAAATTTTTAATATCTTCAGTTAATTCTAAACACTCTAAATCCTCATCTATTTCTATACTTGGTTTAGGGCTAGGTGTACCATTTAACGGTAATTCCATTTCTTCATTAAACTTAGCATTAATAATTTCACCAATTTCAAGAGAGATAATTGTTTTAAGCGTTGAAACGACTTTTTGAATATTTGGACGCTCATCAGTTTCGTATTTCCAACATTCTAATTGAATGAATAGGGATTAGATTCGTTTATAAATGAAAAATGTTATTTATATTATTTACCTGGATATAGATTACTATACTCAGGCGGAGTTCCATCAATAATATTTTCTCTTTTACCATTTAATAATATAGACAGAATTAAGTCTTCATCGTAATTAACATCTTTAAACGGTTGATATCCACTTGACATTTGCCACATCAAGACTCCAACACTATAGATATCGGATTTTTTATTAAATTTGTAATCTTTATTTTTATCTAAACTTTTGGGATCCATATATGGTAATACACCAAATACTTTCGAAGCTATACTTGATGCCTCAGCAATTTTTTTTTGATAAACCAAAATCTGACAATTTAATAGTTTTCTGATTGATAAGTATATTCTCTGCATGCTATAATGTATTAATGAACAAATTTTTGATTAATAATTAAATGTCGATAAATAAATAAATAATAAATGTTGACAGTCACCAGATCGCAATGAACAATCTCACAATCGTGTATGAACTCCACGGCACTTGCCAATTGTAAAGCTAGCTGATATTTGTCATTCCAATCAAGTTTATTAAAATGTTCATTAAAATAAGCATTTAATGTTCCGCCATCAGCATATTCCAAAACTAAAGAATACTTGTTAATTTGATGAATATTTGCTTTCCATAAAAAAAAAAAAAAAATTAAAATTAATATATTTGTCAAAAATTTGAATTATGTGTCATTAACATTTACCAGTTCTTTCCCTTGTGATACCAGAAAACATAATGATGTTTGGATGAAAATGAACTCTTATATGTAATTTTATCTAAAAATTTTAATATAAATTAATTTCCAATCTTTCTAACAAATTTTTAAACTATTATAATTATTTTACCTCATTTACGACTTCTTTCAAAGTTATTGTATCGTTATTAAAAGATTTCAAAGCAAAATAACGATCCGGATTTTTCCAATTCGCACGCATAACTTTTCCGGATTGTCCATTTCCGATTAATTGTAAATTTTCGAAGTCCGAATATTCATAATGGATGAAATATCCAGATTTTGATTTTTCTAACCAATCTATATCAGAGTTATCTGACATTTTTTTTTTATTTTATATAAATTTAATTTAGACCGTCTTTCGGGTAAATATTTATGGTATATAAAATTCTCCTTTAAATAAAAAAAAAATTCGGAGTTCAAATTCCGTCCGATGCAGAGTAACCCACGCGTAACAAATCATCAAATCAATTATTATTGATTATGCATGACAACGCGTGACAAATAAACATAAACAACATCTACCGAAAAAAGATTTAGTCTTTCAAACTTTTAATAAAATTTTAACATCAACAGGGTCACACACTAACCTAATCTCAATTATACCAGCAAAAAGGAAGCTGTGGGGAATTATTAAATTCCCATAATACTTAGTAAAAATGAAACGCAGAGATATGTGACACAGGTGACAGAAAAATAATACGTAAATTTTTAACCGTCCTTTCGTTGCCCGAGAGACGCTATGTAAGTCTGAAAATTATTGGGTATGCAGTAGAAATATATGGGAGGTTGCTATTAAAATCATGTTACATACCATAGATTTAAATCCAATATTATCCATGCTGCGCCATTTTGTCCATGAACTTCATAAATCCTTTCCTAATCCGTTTAATTCAAAATTTCATTTAGAAAATTTATTTTACTTTCACACACTATATATATTGTTTAAAATATAATTTTTGAAATAAACTAGGAAATTACGTTCGTTGACGCCTTTTACAAAACATTTTGTGGCGACCCAAAATGTAATTTTATGGACTTTTTTTAGCAATGCGTCAAATTTCCCCGATATTTAAGGGTCATCAAGAAATTCAAAGATCGATATTTAAAAGAAATATTATTTGATGAAAGCGACTTTGTGGCACAGCAAAAAGTTAGACGAATTCACCTGCTTACCCATCTAAAATGACACGAAATGGCCGGCGTTAATTTTTGACGGAAAATGTGACGAATAGATTTTTCACTACTGAAAATATGTGACATCGGTGACGGAAAAAATATAATGTGAAATTTTGATAGGAAATCAAGTCAGAGTAACAATTGAGACAATCAATACAATATACTTCAAACTTTGTCAAAAAATGGCTTTCATTTTATTAAAATGGTTGCTTTTCAATTTTTCGAAACTGATGATGAGCTGAGTGTTGGGTCGGCAAATTATAAGTTTTAGAATATTCCGCGCCTGGATTTTGTTGCGTTACATTATTTTAAATATTCTTTTATTTATTTATTTTTTTTTTTTAAAAAAAAAAAAATTATTGACACAAGAGCAATCAGCAGTAGATAGGTTTTAGATTTACATGTCGACTTTAATAATTTTTTAATTGCAATAAAAATTTGTAAAAATTCGTATATAATTACTTTTTGGTATTGTAAAATAAAATTAATATTTATACTCGGTTGGGTTCGAATTTTATATAATTTATAAGACCGAGCTTCAAAATTAGGACTTATGCAGGCCTCTAATCTGAACATTATAAGTCGAAGAATATTATTCAATTCAAGTTTACATATCAATTTATTTTCTTGAATAAACACCGACTTGACCATTTAGTCTGCAAGTATATTCGATTCGCAATTAAAATAGGAATTTATTGTTCGGTCCCCTCGTATCTAATTGAAGGTACTTTTCCTGATTAAAATTGCTTAATCACACAAATAATTGTTATCCATTTAAGATTATACATTATAACTCTATCTTTTTTGGAAAAGTTAAAAGAAATTTATTATTTGTGTTGAAATTTCAAAATAATAATATTATATTGGCAATTCTGTGTATTTTGATATCGTCAACACATTACTAGATGTGAATAAGAATGACTATTTATTTATTTCCTTCAACTGAAGTTGTATCGAGAAAACATAAGAAATATCGTGTTGATAACGTGAGGAGCGGATTTTGTAGATTGAATTTATAGTTGTATGTAATTTATAAATCTATATTTTCTCTAATTTAATTACTTTAGAGCCTTCGCATATGATGCTTCTTAAAGCATTAAAAAAAGCTTTCTTATAAATAACAATAGGATAATTTGTTCGTCAATCACATTTGTTATCTGCTTGAAAACCTACTTTCCGAAGAGAAAATTGATCTTAGTAGTCGACAACAATTTGTGACAAATCACTTGTACCAATGATCGTTTTCATTGCATGGTATTATCCATTGAGAATAACCTTCTGTTAGCTTAGCTTCTTTTGAAATCCTTCATGAATATGTGATTACTATGTTTGGTAACTAGATTTTAAAAGTAAACTTTCCATATCAGTACAACATGTTATTTCATAACATCGTGCGTCTGTCAAGTTCCCTTCTTTCTATAATTCAATTAATTATATATTTTTTTTGTATTGTCTAGAAATAATATTTGGCAAAATAAATCTCTTCAACCTTTTAAGTTACGTTATTCGGATGTCCTCTTATAGCGAGAAGTGAATTAATATTGATGAACGTTATTTTAAATACTGATATTTCGCCTTTCTCTACAGTATATTACATGGCACCATAACTTAGCTTCTTAATTATCATTGCCGACCGATGATTTTTTTCTTTGATCCTAACTCTAATCACGCAACTAACGTTTGGCTTCCGAAATTCGTTCATCATGTTAAATTTCTCAATACTTCACAGAGACTTACAAAATGTATAATGGCATAGCAAGATTTTTACAAGAAATTGATAATTATGGATGTAAAACTTGCGAAGGTATAAGTGTGTAATTTAAGAAAAATAAAAGGATCCTAATCATTTTTAATTAATTTACTGATTAAACCTGAAATTTGTTCTTTTTATATTTTAGGAGGTTTATCCTTATCCTTTAATTTATTAATTTTACTTTCTCTTTTGGAAATGTTAAATATATTAATAAAGCTAATAGGACAAATAGAGATGGATTAATAAACTTATTTTGCACAAAAAGGCGATTGTCAATTTTTCATATTATTTTGATTATAAATGAGTTTTCCTTTCGTAAACAATGCTTATGTCTTTTTCATAATAAACATTTTATGCTTTAATGCGTAAAATGGTTCATAGGCTCCTGCAGCAAAAATTCTTTCTTTATTTGGAATAAATTTGCGAGTTTTTTATAATAATTACATTCTTGATAATTTTAAGAGTAAAATATAAAAACTTAAAATATTAAAAAGTAATTTTATATTAGAAAAAGTTTTAAAAAATGCTCAATAAAGTCAACAAATATATGAAGACATCAATCATTATATGAAAATTTAATATAGTTGACCATAACCTTCTCATTGTGTTGATTCAAGTCTTTGGATAATTTTTCTCTTTTTTTTTTTTCTTTAAGAACGGAACTTTATCTCTACGTTCCTAAGATAAGTCTTGCGGGGAGTTCTTTCTGGCAGAAATAGAAAATAAAAAAATAAATTAATTTATTTATGCGCGCAATTCCCATTGGATATTCTTCGGACATATTGACATGGGACAAATATTAAATTTAAGAGGGACGTACAAGAGTATATTATAATAATTCTGGAGTAGACCAAAGCTAAGTTTAAGTATCCATGAAAAAGCGAATACTGATATCTGTATGGGATTAATTGCAGCGTCCAGATATTTCTAGTATCCACATTTTGACACAAATTATGTCATTATCAATTTTCGAATAAAATCCATACACTAGAATTTGTAAATTTGTATTGCTTTTATTTTTATTTATCTTCTGTATTATATATTTGTTGTTGAAGTTAAAGTTGTAAAGGTAAAAAGAAATAAGTAGGAATATTCTTTAAATACGTAAATTAAAAAAATTTAGCAAGGTTAACAAATTTTGCGGACTATAAATCAACATAAATAATTACCGTAATTCGTGAACTTAATGCAATCAAATTTCTTTTTAATTGCAACTATGATATGAATATGCATCAAAGCCTTTTTTTTTTTTTTGATTTGGTGAATATATTGCATTTTAAACTTATTAAATTTATTATTTTATAAGGAAATGAAAGTATGCGTTGATCCTGGAATCGAAAAGTATTTTTTTTTTTTTTTCAAAAAATCGAGTTTGTCTTAAAAAAACTGTTTGATGTCCAAAAGTCTCAATGTAATATGTATTCAGGGTATCATTCCACATAAGCCTTCTTGATATAAACTGCAGTTATGTAATGAAAAAGAATTATTGGCTTCCCGAAATTATTTGTTTAAAAAAAAATTGTTCAGTTGCCTTTTAAATTGTAATAAACAACCGGAGGATTATATTTATTAGATTTGGAATCATTAAAAAAGAAACCTAAACATATTCATTAAAAAAAATAACTTTATATGTTGGGCTTATTTTTTTGTTGCATTCTTGCTTGGATTATTTTATCAATTTTTTTACGTTAGGCAAAAGGAATATACTAAGAATTGAAATTTCTTTTTCCCTCAAGAATAGGTATTGATTCGCTTTGTCAAGTTGATGCTTTAATTAAAATTATTTAATTAATTGTTATAAGAATGATACATAAAAAAAAATAAAGTGATAAAGATTATTTACTAAATAACCCAAATTATTAGACTTACTTAATAAATAAAAAGATATTGCCTTGAGACTAACAATGTTCTAGAGCACTTGAACCATCCGTTCCGTTTGTTAGATAGAAATGATACCACCCGCCTTATGCGTTCTCAGATTTAATAAATTCTATTCTCAAGGAACATGTTTAACAATATAATGGGCAATTAATAATTTTTACTGGGAGTACCAATATTATTTTGATGATATTCTTTCATGATAAACGATTTTAAATTATTAGTTATCCTTGACCTTTAAAGTTAGTATCATTATTAATTAAGTATGGCAGAGAGAGACACAAAAAATTTTATGATGGTTGCAATGACGATGAATGATAAGAGAAACTCAATTGCAAAGGATTATAAAAAAAAAAAAATTTCGAAAAATTAAACCTAATCTTCAAAATAAATAAATTTCAAGGCAAATCGTAAAACCATTTTGCTTAACAATTGGTTTAACGAAATTAATTCCTCAGAATGTAAAAGAATTAAGTGATAACGCACTATGTTGTAATTAGTGCACAACGAAAATTAACAATCATTTCGGGAGCCGACAAATTATAATCCCGACAAACCTAAAAACCGAAATATTTTGAACGACGAACATAGCGTCGTCCGTAAAAAATGGTAATTGGATTTTATTTGCCGGGTATTTATTATTAGAGTTAGGATTTAGAGTTAGGGTTAGGGTTAGGGTTAGGGTTAGGATTAGGTTTAGTGTAGAGTTAGGATTAATTAAAGGGTTAGCAAATTTGTCACGTAGCGTCACATCCCGGCCGTTTCTTCAATTCATAAGTCTTATTATACTTTTTTATTAGCAATACTTCAATTTCAATTAATACTTTAATCTGATTTTAGTATAATCAAATAAACATAAATTTTTTTAAACTACTATATATTATAAATGGAATGGAACAATTCCGCCCAGAAATTTTAATTACTACAACAAATAACATATGATTCGATACGATATATGGGACCTTTGTAATAGAAAGATAGAAAGGTGGAGAAAATATATTACCTTTATATGATATGCCAAAGATGATTTTTAGGTTTTTAGGCCAAAAATAAGTTCAGATTTAGTATTAACTCATTTTTATTTTCCGGCAGTTTCCCTATTATGTGAACAAATCATAATGATCGATCAAGACGAATTATATATATTTTTTATCTTTCATAAATAAAAAAGATTATGACGATTTTTAATGACCGAGAAAATCGCTCAGTGATGAAGTTTCTTCGCGAGATCGCGCTTAATTTTTCGTTATAGTTAAGCCAATTAACGAAAATATTATATTCAATAAACCCTACCCTATTCTTGAACTTTCAAAATTGCGAACATTAATCTACTTAACTACAGTAATCGATTTAATTAAAATATAAAAATTGCACCAATTTTATTTTCTTTTTTTGCAAATATCAATATTTAATTAAATGAACGATATATATGCCATCTTCCGGATTTTAGCACCAGCAGGAATTTTGAATTATCGGGATCTTGATTTCGATTTCACGATTTTCGGAGTTAATTTTATATCTATTAAAAAATTTTTCATAAACGCTTCTATATATGAAATGTAAAACTGTAAGCTTACATATTGTAAGCTCATATTTGAAATCTATCAAACAAATCCATTGCAAGAAGTTGAACATTTAATCCTAATACAACAATAAAATGTTAGATGTCAAATAAATATCAAGAAATTTAATCACATCTTATCAGAAAATTGAAAATCCAAATATTGCCGAATTTTCAGTCTCTTTGTCAGAAATATTATGTCATATAATTGTCAAGGATACATTTGTTCGTACGTAAAATCTTACTTCAACCACGAACAATTTTTGCAGGTGTCGGTGATTGAGCAGCACATTCAGAATGATTGAATTCTATGCGTTGCCTCCGAGTTTCAATCCTCAAATCATTTTCCTGCATACAGTACTGAAGTGCAGATAGTAAAATTTACAAAGAATGCTCCATAAAAAATGCGGTTACCATCGAAGTTTGACAATTTGATTTACATCTGAAAAATAATGTCCATCACAGTGGGCCAGTGTTTTAAGAACAAATTCATCTCCGTCAGTTTTATTTCTTTGTAATTCTCATCCACAAAAATATGCGGATCATGTCAATGCAAGAAATAAAATATTTGAATTAGTTTTAATATTTACGGGCACTGTTACTGAACCACAAATGAAAAAGTGCACATTGTAAAATATAGTTTCGTGATTTGAAGATTGATTTTGGGGCCTGACGATTCTTCATATTCTTTATCAAATACTATCACGCTAGTATAAACATAACTGCAGAAGTGATATTAGTGGACAAAACATTAGAACATCAATCAATTTTCTGTTTTACTTACAACCTCAATCTCCCAATGCCTTCAAGTACACGGACTTCGAATTTTATTTGTTGCATGTTGTTTTGAATGTTTCCTTTTTGTTATTTTTGGAATTTTCTAGAACCATTAATGTTATTTGTGAGTGACATTTCTGATCTGTATTCCGCTTGACAAATTCCATTCTTACTAGTTTTGACTTTTTCGTCAAAAGGTAAAAAATATTCATTTATAGTAATTTCGGATTCTTCATCATCAGATAATACTAGTTCTTCTTTCTCTTCGTTATCATCTTCAACTTCGGTTGTCAACAATCTTGAATTAAAATCTTCATAATCTCCAAGCTTCTGTATTCTAGTAGGTATCATCATCGCCAGTTGACTCAAATATTGATTGAAACATTAAGCTTGGAGATCCTCATCCTGTTTGTCGATGTAGTTGGTGACTTTTAAGATGTGTAATTATGAAAAAGTTTCCTTAATATGATGGAGACCTATTACTTCAAACTCCATCATTCCTCATTTCTGAAAATCATAAATAAAGTTAGAAAAATAATAGATCTAGAGATAGTTCTTTGTAAAGATAAACTACCACTGCAATTGGGTTTTTTTTTCAATTATCTCAGATTCCATAAACAGTGATTCCAAAAGAGTCGACTTATCTTCCTTAACAAATTTATTTTAAAAGATAAACATACACAATTTCTTTGCTTTACATAGATCCGCTAAATAATCGCAGAACCAACTATGAACAAAGCATTTTACCCTTTTCCCTACGAGCATTCCACCCAAAAACTACTACGAACATAGCATTTCACTTTTCCTTTGTGAGCATACCATCCGCAAAGTATTCTGTGCAAGCATTCTACCCTGCAAAGTATTACGTATATTCAACGCCGAATCAACTAAATAAAAATGATACATGAAAATATCTCTTTCATTTCAACACTTTCTTGCCGATTTCGGACTTTTCGGTACCTCTTCATAAGTGGTGCTACGAGCCACTTCCTGAAGCATCATCTCTTGAAGCTAACACTGTTGGCTGCAATTACGTCTCGTCTAATACACCTCGTTAAAACTCCAGTCGCCTGCTACTCTCGTTACGTGGTCTATACTGAAAGAAAATTATCAGAAAAAATTAAAAAATAAAAATCAAATTACGAAAAAAAATAAATATATACCGTCTTTTCCCTTCCTACTTTTGGGCGTTTAATAAAATAAAAAATATCAAAAGTTAATAAGGTTCGTCACCAATACAAATTTTTTTTTAGCTGCTAATGAGTTATCGTTTGTCTTGGGAAAAAGGAAGTTTGAAATTTTTTTGGAACGCGTAATATAATGAGCAAAATCATATTTTTATGTAATACTTTAAATATATTATTTTTAAAGAAAAAAAAAATTTTTTTTTTTTTTTTTAATTTTTTTTTTTTTGGTATTAGCTTTACTCGAACCCATTATTCGAGGTTGAAAGTCAAGTGCTTTATACCGCTATACCATAGCAGCACCGACATAATTTTTAATTTAAAATTAATATAAATCTCAACTGATTTTTGAATATATCATATGATATTGATCACCTGATCGCTCGCGTTACTCCAAATATCAATATATTATCGTTACACAATAAAATTAATTATAGATTTTTACACATCATTTTTTTTATTACAAGTAAAGCAAACGCTACAAGGCCTTGCATTCTTTCCTTTCCTTCTCACGTATCTAAAAAGTATCTAATTCTAAATAACTATTTTTGAACATGATTTTCCTAAATTTTTCACGCTCCTAATAAGCTCTAATAGTTGTCAACAAAAATTCACGGAATAAATATCGTATGATTAAAAGTTTTTTTTTTTTAAAAAACTTTTAAAGTCGAGAAATTTTGTGGAGTGCCAGTGATCGAATAACCGATGTGCCAGCATTAATGTAAACGATATTAGAATATTGGATCAGATTTGTTTATGTCTATATTATAGAACATAAAATATTATTTTTACTTGGCAACAATATTGCGTCAGTCATCACCGCTATGGATATTGTTGCTTTATATTCTTTTCAATATTTAATAATTTGAATTTTGATATAAAGTCTCACTTACAATTACACCATTACCAAGACTTGAAAACTTCCAATATATGTTTTACAAACTTTAAAAGTTTATGCTGATTAGATCTTTATTAAAGAAAGCTGGCAGACAGGGGAAATTTGACAACCAATTTTTTTTAAATTGGAATGAATCGCGATGCGGTTTATGAAGAAAAAGGAAACTGACTAGTTTAAATTGGAAAGTTAATGAAGATATCAGCGGCTATAATAAAACAAAATCATTGTTAAAGTACATAAATTAAAATAAAACTGTAATATAATTCTTTTAACATTCTAATAGAGAGATATATGTAAAAGAATAACGATCCAAATTTTGGT